CTTTCCTTCTTTCTTTCTTTTTTTTTTTAAGAACAGTTTTTTTTATTCGCTTGGTTGGTCGGGAAGGTTTTGGCGAAAATGCGAGCATAATCACAACTTACTGCAGAGTGTGCTTCGGCAGGTTGCGACACACGGTGATTGTACAGTAGGACGTTTTATATATAAGTAAAAGTGAGGGAAAAACGAGAATAAAAACGTTATTGTAGTAGAGAATAAGAAACAGAGACAACACATGCGTTTTTTTTAATATATATATATTTTTTCACACAGCGTTTGTAGTTTCCGACCGTCACGCATTCTTTGTGTGGTGAATTAAATGGGACGTCTCCTTATCTGAAGTTACTGGTTAAAAGTCAGAAAAAGTTGTTCGTGATGCCCGAAGCTGATGGTTTTGAGAGACCTCAAGGACGACCTAGCGTTGCGTAATGTTTCCTTAATCACGAAGTCTCACAGCATAGTTTCCTGGGGCAACCAATATTCTCTTTAATTGACACGTCTGAAGATTATTTCCACTAGACTAGACTTCGTATACAGTCAAGGAAATCAAATAATCACGCACGATTACTAGTTTGTTTCTATCTATCAAAAATTCCCATAGCCATTCTGCTCGAAGCATTAAACAGAGATACAAGCACACAGATAATTCTGTTACGTTGAATATCAAACTCTTTCCGGTATTAATTTTAAAATTACTATCACATTCGGTCGGTGACCATTTTGTTTGGTCACATTATATTTAATGAAACTCTCCGATTGTCGAAACGTATAACGTGCTCCGAATGTCGCTTTGGATTGAAATCATAATAACTGCGAGAACCCGCCTAGTCCCTCCTCGATGTTAGGCCTTTTCAGTATGCGCATGTGCGCAACAGTGAAGTACTGGTTGTTAAAGACAAAAAAAAAATTTAGCCTCAGAACGTCGGTTTTCTGCATGACTCAAATGCAGTTTCCAATCGCTCTGCTTTTAAGGACATTCACTGTTTGTTTCTTAGAAATTTCGCGCAAAGCTACACGAGGGCTATCTTGCGCATAGTCAGCCCTAATTCTGAACTGATAGATTTGATAAAGAGAAAGAAGCTCAACAACAGCACTCACTCACTATCGTAGGATCAAATAGTGCAAACTCATGGCTCCAAAGCGTGGAGTATGTTTTACAACAAACAGACCGAATAATAATAATAATCATAAGATGAAAATTGTAGGGTATGTAAAACAATACATGTTAATCGTGTAAAATATAACTTTGAATCCGAAAGAAAGTAACTTTTATATTACAACTGAATTATTTCGGCCGCCTAGAGGGATCACCTGTTTTAACCACTCGCACCTCTATACAGTAGTGTGTTGTCTGTCAGTCAGTCAGTCAGTAGACACTAAAATGATGCCACATAAGGGACGCTTAACGTTGCAATTGCTACTGTCGTGACGTCTGTAAAATGTGCGCATTCCACGAATCACGAGAAGAATTATGCACTCTTTAGGCTACAACACAGCATGACATATGAACTTCAAAAACAATAAATAAAAATATGTGTTACTTTTGAAACAGAACACTTTCGAGGACTCTACGGAAGCACACAGAGTCATATTCATACTGCATTAGAAGTGTAGTGTTATGAATGAATAACACAGGCCTGCGATTATTTTACTGTCTTGATATTTTTACATGTTTTACAGTAATTCCTGTACGCTGAATCCGAAAATGATATCAATTTTTCTCCATCACGTACAGAATTTTCACAAGACGTCATATCTACTTTTACATAAGTTAATCGATAAGACTCTCACGTCGCGATTGGTCTAGAGAAATCTATAGCCAGTGGTTGTCAACATTTTAAGCATAACAAAATGTGACCCGATTTCAATGAAAATGCCCCCCCCCCAGTGGCACAGCGACATGCCTGCGGACTTACGACGCTGGAATCCAGGTTTCGATACCCATGGTGGAGAGAGCGCAGATAGCCCATTGTGTAGCTTTGTTCTTAATTACGAACAAACAAACAATCAATGAAAATGATTTCTAGAACCCATCTAATATATAAACAGTTAACAGGCAGCATGATATGTCATTTCTGGATAGTATTTGTTTGTGCATGCACTTTGATATACGTTATTTTTTTTCTTTTCAATATTATTTATTCATCACTATGGCAACTAGACCTAAACATATTCTATTATATATTTGTGGTAAACTTGATCTAATTAAGAGTGTATTTTTTCTTCCTGATTTGTAAAAAATCCTTACGCGATAGAAAAAATTAATATTATTTTGAAATCTGCATAGCTGAATTACAGAAAATCCGTTATTAAAACCAAAATAACTTTTATGAAGTTTAAATTCAAAGGCCTGTGTTATGTGACAGGAGAAGTAACCAGATTAATAACATAAGCTCATAAAACTCTAGAATCCGGTACAATAATTATTCTGTAAAATCTACACAAAAAAATCCAGATCATAATATTCATTAGTATTATTGCTACTACCATAATACAATAAGTATATACAAAAACTGTTGTGTTTAGATGTTTTTCCAAACTAAAAATGAAATGTGTAAAAATTCACGGACTTTTCCCAGCTTCCCCGACCCGGTGGAACTATGCAAGAGGCAGTTAAGATAAAAAAAAAGAGATGGATCCACTCATACATAATAAACATTTCAAACTACCACACATAGATAAAGCTGGCTTGTTGAATTTTTTTTTACTATGTAATATTTACCTGTTATTCTTTTGAGAGTATAGCACAACTTTCGCCAAAATTTGCTGGATGTCTTTCGGTAGAAGTGATAGGTTTCCAAAAACTCGTATACAAACTCCGTACTCATCAATCTTGTCTCTGAGTGTTCGTACGGAAATATTGAATATTCGGTAAAAATATGAAAAGTATGAAATGACAAATGTATAACTAGAACATCAATTTAAATGAATAATAAAAATTATTACTAACACACAAATATAGTTATTTCTGGTTTTATAAATAAGCATCAAATAGAATATATGATGCTATGTTTTATTTGAGTATTTAGTTGAGGACAGCCATGATAAGAGACAGTCCACAAAAATAGTTTGATATTACATATAGCATTAATACAAGAAAAAAAGTATGCTTTGTCTTATGTTTAATACAAAGTTTTGAAATTAATAAAATCTTTTGATGGTGATTATAACTTTAGTTTCTCTTTCAAGACAATATTTCTGAAGTTAAATGTACATATTCTAACACAGAAGCTCTTGTGAATCATAAGTTAATATAAAATAAGTGTTAAAAATTAATTATTGTCTTAAAAAATATCTTAACTTACAACCACATTTCAACAAGCAAAGTAAACAACTGACTTTAAATTCTGTAGGGTTATCTTATTAGATACTAAGAACAATGTACAACCTTCACAATAACAACTCTCTGGATTGACAGCTAAGAACAGTGTACAACCTTTCCAAGAATTACACACTGGATTGATAGCCAAGAATTACACTCTGGATTTACAGCTAAGAACAGTGTACAACCTGTCCAAGAATTACACACTGGATTGATAGCCAAGAATTACACACTGGATTGACAGCTAAGAACAGTGTACAACCTTCACAATAACAACTCTCTGGATTGACAGCTAAGAACAGTGTACAACCTTCCCAAGAATTACACTCTGGATTTACAGCTAAGAATAGTGTACAACCTTTCCAAGAATTACACACTGGATTGATAGCCAAGAATTACACTCTGGATTTATAGCTAAGAACAGTATACAACCTGTCCAAGAATTACACACTGGATTGATAGCCAAGAATTATACTCTGGATTGACAGCTAAGAACAGTGTACAACCTGTCCAAGAATTATACTCTGGATTTACAGCTAAGAACAGTGTACAACCTTCCCAAGAATTACACTCTGGATTTACAGCTAAGAATAGTGTACAACCTTTCCAAGAATTACACACTGGATTGATAGCCAAGAATTACACTCTGGATTTACAGCTAAGAACAGTGTACAACCTGTCCAAGAATTACACTCTGGATTTACAGCTAAGAACAGTGTACAACCTTTCCAAGAATTACACACTGGATTGACAGCTAAGAACAGTGTACAACCTTCACAATAACAACTCTCTGGATTGACAGCTAAGAACAGTGTACAACCTTTCCAAGAATTACACTCTGGATTTACAGCTAAGAACAGTGTACAACCTTTCCAAGAATTACACACTGGATTGATAGCCAAGAATTACACTCTGGATTTACAGCTAAGAACAGTGTACAACCTTTCCAAGAATTACACTCTGGATTTACAACTAAGAATAGTGTACAACCTTTCCAAGAATTACACACTGGATTGACAGCTAAGAACAGTGTACAACCTTTCCAAGAATTACACTCTGGATTGACAGCTAAGAACAGTGTACAACCTTTCCAAGAATTACACTCTGGATTGACAGCTAAGAACAGTGTACAACCTTTCCAAGAATTACACTCTGGATTTACAACTAAGAATAGTGTACAACCTTTCCAAGAATTACACACTGGATTGATAGCCAAGAATTACACTCTGGATTTACAGCTAAGAACAGTGTACAACCTTCACAATAACAACTCTCTGGATTTACAGCTAAGAACAGTGTACAACCTTTCCAAGAATTACACACTGGATTTACAGCTAAGAACAGCGTACAACCTTTCCAAGAATTATACACTGGATTGATAGCCAAGAATTACACTCTGGACTGATAGCCAAGAATAGTGTACAACCTTTCCAAGAATTACACACTGGATTGATAGCCAAGAATTACACTCTGGATTTACAGCTAAGAACAGTGTACAACCTTTCCAAGAATTACACACTGGATTGATAGCCAAGAATTACACTCTGGATTTACAGCTAAGAACAGTGTACAACCTTCACAATAACAACACTCTGTGGATTGACAGCTAAGAACAGTGTACAACCTTCAAAATAACAACACTCTGGATTGATAGCTGAGAACAGTGTACAACCTTCACAACAATAACACAGTATCTAAGAACAGCATACAACCTTCACAACAATAACACAATATCTAAGAACAGTGTAATCCTTCACAACAGTAACTCACTTCTCTTCTAAAAGCTTACGGAACTTCTCTCTAGCCAACTCCATCAGTCCATTAACCTCTTGTTCCGACCGCTTGAAGTTCTCGATGCTGAATGCATATAAAGTGACTTCTACAATTCCCAGGTCTAAGCACCAACCTAAAGTCTTGAAGAATATCAAAACTTAGAGTAATAATTAGGAAAACATTTCAGCATCAACTAACTAGAAAAAGACATCAAGTTCATTAAAACTAGGTTTATACTAGCTTAGTAGAGTGTAGAAAAACAACAACAGTGTGTTCTGCTTAAAACTAAGATACGAGGAAGACGTATTTGGTACCACAGTGTTTCAATAATTCACTAGGTTGTGGAAATCAAGAAAGATTCATAATATTTTTAAACATTAGACATCGAGCTGTGAAGGTTTTATTTCAAGATCTAAAAATGGTTTGTTAAACGAACTAAGAAAACTGTCATGGAGATACTTCAAGTTTAGGAATAGGAATTTCTCATACACGTAAGTAACAAGCAAATTCACGATCATTAGCTATCTAAATAAATGTAGCAACCGACTTAAATGGAAACTTTTTTTAAACTGAATCTCAAGTTATTATTTATTAAATAAAAAAAATTATTAACACTAAGTGAAAAAAAATCTTACACAATTATTTTAGTTAAATATGGAGAAATACTGAAACTATCTCAAATTTTTATTCAAACATTTAAATAAATAGGAAATTTAAAAAAGTAGTCGCTAGTTTTTCTAAAGCATACAAATTTAGAAATGTATATCGTACTGGGTAGGTAGTGGACTCAAAAAATGAAGCCAGATAAAAGCCTGAAATCGAACAAAGATGGAAAATTGAATGTTTGAAATACTTAGCTTTAAACTTAAAATAAAGGTTTATAATATAAAATATTAAACAATCAAATTCCTAAAAATAACATAGCATACTTATTTTGATAATTCTTTTAATTTAAGAAAAACGAAGAAAATAAACCCATAGATAGCATGTTTTTTTTTTTATAACAATAAAAATTTCTGTAAAATTAAAAAAACAATTTTATTTCCCCCAATATCAAAACTTGAGAGTAGCATTAAAAGCCTCTGCTTCTTAGATGACAGAATGAAATATCACAAGACATTTTTACCTCAGCAAGTTTATTAAATCCACAGGCATGTCCCTCTGTTTTCTCCAACCCCTGTTTTGAAGCGTATCGCCGATTTCCATCCATGATCAGTGCCACATGTTTAGGAACTGGACCAGCTTTTAACAAGTTAATGAAAAAAGTCTCCAACCAAGTTCTCTTGTTCTTCGGAAACCACAACATTTTGGGAAAAACTTAGATAAACACTTCCTACCAAAAAAAAAGGGAACAATAGTAAGATCAAAAGGTTCCAAAAGTTTAGGATTAAGATGAAGTAAATAAAATTACAATAATAGCGTTTTGTTCATAATAAGTTTAAGTTCAGATTTTTGTAAATTTTCGCATAAGAAATGTAAAACAACAAAACAAAATTGTTCTTTTTCTTTAACTGGACACTCAACGTTTAATTTTACATTTCTTTCAGAGTGTTCTACTAAAACATAAACAGTAACCGTTATAGTTATAAGGTGAAACATTGAGTGCTCAATTAAAGAAAAACAACAATTTTGTGTTATAAGATCATTTATTTCTAGTATTAAAATGTCTTTTATACACCAATATGCACTACAGAAATTAAATAGTGTGTTTTAAATCATGTTATATATATATATATATATATATATATATATATATCGTTCTAGATGTAATATTCCAAGCAGAGTCACTGGTCTCTCTGACAAGCAGCTACATATAATTTTAACAAATGTTTATCAAACTAACCTAAAGTTTGGTTGGAACTCACAAGTCATAGAAACAAGTGTTACAGAGAAAGTGTGTATGATTTAGGTGTAACGTAAAACATACTGTAAGATCTACAGGGTTGCTAAAGTTAATGTAGTTTTGATGATGATCTATTTCATCTTTGACTCAAGAGCATGAAGGATATTATTTCATAGAAAGCTGGTTAGCCCTCTTTTAATAATTCTTTGTTTTGAAGTTTGCACAAAGCTACACGAGGGCTATCTGCACTAGCCGTCTCTAATTTGGCAGTGTAAGACTAGAGGGAAGGCAGCTAGTCATCATCACCCACTCTTGGGCTACTCTTTTACCAATGAATAGTGGGATTGACCGTTACATTATAACACCCCAACGGCTGAAAGGGCAAGCATGTTTGGTGTGACAGGGAATCGAACTCGCAACCCACAGATTGTGAGCCCAGCGCCCTGACCACCTGGCCCTCTTTTAATAAACTGTGATCACTTTACATCCCCATCCCATATTACACAAAATATATTAACAAGCAGGGAAGAACAGAGAAACTGATGCTTTAACAAAACTTGAGCTAAAAGAGGCTTAGTTATCTCAATAACATACAAGTAGAACTATAGGTAGTGGCATTCACTAAAATTCAGCCACCAAAAAACAAAAAATGTCTTCAGGTTTTACAAAAAAATACAATTACAATCAAGAAATAAATCTTAGTGAATGATGTGATATGTGGCTTACCAAATATAAAACCACCTCTTTGTAATATGTCACATTGCATTGTTATCGATCATACTTTTAAACTTTACTAAAAAGTGCTACATTTGCTTTAGAAAAGAATTCTAGAATCGTTTGTTTGTTTGAATTTATGCACAAAGCTGCACAATGGACT